CAGTGTAATGCCAAACTAGAAAGAGTTCAAGGGGGAAGAAGGATCCAAAAGCCAACCCCAATTAAAGAATTGTATCCCCAGTGTATAGACAGGATATGCTGGTTTCCAAGAAGCACCGTCTTTATCTGAAATGTTTGTGCTTTAATATTTGTGTGATTGTTTTCTGTTTCATTTGAACAAATGTGTATTCTGTGTGCCAGTTTGAAGATCTAATTCCTCTTTCCCTGCCAGGTAAATCTAAATGAAACTGTATTGCAGTCAATATTTAGAATTTCTGGGGAAAGGCAGGAAAATCAGAGGACTTGTCATATTTTACTGGCCTCATTGTATAGGATTTTTGTCAAAACTTTTGGGACTTATGTTTGTTTCTGATTGACAGCGGGCTAATATATATTATCATTAAGAACAGTTTCTGAGACAATGCATGCTCTGACCTTGCTGCTTCTGCAGCTGTGAAGGCTTTTGTTTTCACTCCCATCTCTGTGTAAGTGAAGATAATCTCTACAAAGGGGCTCAATATTGACCTGTCATATCATGTGTTGCTTATCAAGCACTAAAGAAATTGAATTTCATTTTATCTGGAGCATTGTATTAAATCACTGTGCAGTTGAGAGGTGGTATAGGGTCAACAGGTTCTGTCTCTTTCGCCATCTATCTCTGGATTATTAACCTTTGGAGAATTACTAAGATGTTCTTTATTTTATCCCATAAGGTTGGGTTAAATCTTCTTGATCCATAAATTGTTGCCATTGAGTGCCACGTACATGTAATTCTTTTATAAGGTTTCTCGATAAGGATTGAAGATTTAGTAATCTGTATGAATGTAGATATCCCTTATCATTCTGGTTTTTTCTGTTCTTTTGATATTCTCTCAATGCCTCTGTTTTTAATTGGTTCATTGAGAGTAAAAGCAGTCAGACTGGATGATAGATATGAGTCAGTGAACACTGGGTAGTATTTGTTTGCCAAGAGATAAAGCAGGGGTGAGGAGAAGGGAGATTACAGAGTTGGCTATGGCCAAGCATTAAAAGCAAAGGGCAGAGAGAGAAGCTGGCCATAAGCAGAGATGGGAATGGGGTGGAGGTCATAGCAGCAGCCCATGGGCAGACAGAGTCTGGTAGAAGGGAGCCTGTCATCATTAGAGGGGCTCAGGAGAATCTACAGGTCAACACTGCTACCAGCACCAAATCTTCCATATGCCTTGTTGCCATATTTCTGTTTGAAGATCTAACTCTTCTAGTCAGGATGTTTGTGTTTAAGAGCTTGATACAGTCACAGGATATGAATTTCCTGCAACAACAGAAGTCAGCGTACTTTCTGCTGTCACCACAAAGAACTTCCTCCAGTGTTAAGTATGTTTTCTTCTGGCAAAAAAAGGCTTGAAAAAAGTAGATTACAAATATCTTCTCCCCAAAATTTTAAATTTAAATACAAGATTTAATGCAAAAAAACTCAAAACAACCCAAACTTGTTTCATTAAATTTCAGAGCTCTGAAACAAGAAATCTTTCTAAATGAATAAACAAAATTATTGTTTTTCAAATAACGTCCTTGTGCTCAGATATTCACTTAGTGTCTGAGCACTTTCTTTTTCAAACTTGTTTTAAGAAAATCTGAAAAAAAAGAAAACAAACTCTTTAAAAAAGGACTAAAGCTGAGTATTGGAGTTAGCATTTTGGTGGGAGCATTGGCACATAAATTGTAAATGAGGTCTCTGAATTGTTGCTGCTTGCTGCTGCTATCTGATGGCCAGAGCACTGTTCAGTTTTCTTGTGGCCCTGGCAGTAAATCACTGTGTAGCTTTGAACAAGCTATTAACCTTTTTTGTGCCTCTTTCTCCTCACAGAAAAGGATTAACATTGCTTACATATCTCACAGGGGTAATTGGTAGATTAATGTTTGAAAAATATTAAGTGCCTTCTGCCATTGTCATTGAAACTCCAACAGACAGGTCAAGGAATGAACAGGTATATTGAGAGCATCTTTTTTCTTCCCTCTTTAGCATAGGGTGCCAATTTGACTTGGGTAGTTCAACAAAGAAGTGAGAAGTCATGGGCTTGAAAATCCATGTATTTTGGATAAAAGTTCTAGATGAGAATGAAAGAGGAAAGATGGGAAAACACTTGGAAGACAAGATGTGAATTGAATTTCTGGAATTAGCAATACTGAGAGAATATCCAGAGATCAGAAGAGAATACATAAATTGAAATTATATTCCAGTAGGATTAAGGAAATATTTCAGTGAAACACAAACCCTAAATTGTGATGGGGAAATGGAAAAAAAAAGCAGATGAACACTTCTTTTCACCCCCATCAAGAGTTAAAAGTTATTTTTAATGAGATGGCTGAGATTTTTGGGAAGCCTTCTCAAAAATTCAAGTGTTTTATCTGAGAAAAGTAATTATTTGATGATTGCTTTCTACTGAGGTGTTACAGATGGAGGCTTTGTGGTATGGTAGTTTAAAACAATTGGTCTTTACCTCTAGAGATTCCCAAGATGAACATTGCCCAGAAGCAAGAGGAAAATTGTGTTTTTAAAGCACCATTTTAGGAGCAGTGGGACTGTTGGCAGAGTTTACCAAAGCTGTTGAGAGACTCTGCAGACTTTAATTACCATCTCGATATTGCAGAAGTTGTTTAATTTCTGCCAAAGAATGGAATAGTTGTGAGAAAGCGAGATCACACTCTGTCTTTCATTCTTTCCTTTTTGACAGGTGAATAAAGAATGCTTTTCAATATCTCCTCTGATACTGTGACACATTTGTAAAATTTGCATAGAATTGTAAAATAATTTTTCTTCAAGATTAACAAAGCTTTTATTTTTTTTTTCCTTCTCTTTTGAAAGTGCCGTATGGCATAGCATAAATGCAGTTTAAGTCTTGTCTTGAAAGCTGCAAGATGAAAAATGGAGTATATTTTCCATTACTGTTCAGTTGGCTTCAAACATTAATAGTTTCATCGTTCATCATCAGACAACATGTATTATGTTGTCTTAATTCCAATAAATTTTGAATTCAGGTTTGAATTCCATCTCTGGTGGGAGTGGTTGGAGGCACAACCTGGATTAGTAGAATAAAGAGGAAATTATTAGAATGAGAAGAATCATTCCATTTTAGAAGGAAAATTTAGCCTTCTAAGTTTTCCAATTTCCTTGGTGAAGGATATGTTTACTCTTTTAGACCTCAAACTCTAAATCAGAGTATGTATAACTAGGTTTTTCACTGTCATTCAGATGAGAAAAGGGCTGATTATATATATACATATATATATATATATATATAAAAATATACATGTATATTTGTCTCAGCAGTTATCTTCCTCTATGACACTTGAGTGTGTTCAGTTTTTTCCAAAGTGCTTGCAGTGGATACTGATTCTTTGAAGACTCTTACCAGCTCCTTCAGTAGGTCTACTGTGTTGGTACATTTTTTTCCATGACCACCTCACACCTCCCTGTACTTATTAAAGCACCAGCCTTTGTTTGCTCTATAAAACCCCTTTTTCCCCCCTTCTCTTCAAGTCTCTTATCTTTCAAGGACCTTTTCAGTGCTATCCTTCCGCTTCAAATCTCTATTGTTACAGTGCACAGAGTGTTCAGAAAGCTACTGCCCAGGAATTCTACTTATTCATTTGTATTTTTCACCATATATATGATAAATCAGTATTTAAGGGGAAAGGTAACATGCTTGTTCAAAATCCAGAAAGGGAAGGATAGATCATGGGAACAAATACGAGTAGTTTTTAATCCTTAACACTTGTCATGTTACTAGGAATAGCTTTATGTTATATTTAGAATTTGGTTGTTTTGATGTTTGAAACTAAATGTTTGCAATTTGTCTGGCAAACTGCATGCTGAATAGATTACACTGATTCACATTTCCTTATTTCAGTATACCATCTGTGCTTTTGGCTAGTTTTTGCCTGGTTGAAACTCATAAAGGCAAGTTACAAAGAACGGTTATGCTCAGAAAGAGAAATCCTATATTTCACTTCCTTGGATAATCTCGACTGTTTTAACCTTAAAATAGCAAGGACGCAAGGCTGAAGCTATGTACTACAACAGGCTTTATTTTCTCTGGTGATGAAGCCTGTATTAGCAGGGTATATTTTCACTGAAACTCTAGTATATACAGTCATGGTCATGATTTTCATTGTGTAATCATTTTAATCAAGTTCAACAATAAAAGTTAGTCTTGCATGAGGAATAAATGCACTAGAGAGACAATGAAAGATTGATGACAGCTTGGGGAGCATCACGTACTCTGCTGGTGGAAATGCAAGTGTGGAGAGCAGCTGAGCTTGGGGAGCAGGTCAGAGATTACTCACTCAGAGTAATGCACAAGCACAGTTTTGGTGATTTGAAAGAATTGGGTTACAATGTGAATATCCAAAAGCGTTTTTGTACTATTTCTGAGGGGTTTTGCATGAATGAATAGCTTCATTGCTAAAATAATAAACAGTAATTAATATCTGCATCATTTTTGTAACTGCTAGCTTAGTAAGGTAATTAGTATAATTAGTATATAGCATTGCTTGGTGGCATGATAAATCATAATGTAATGAATGTTCACTCTTTACCATTATGATGTATTATCTAATTTATGCAGGTAAAAAAAAAACAAACGGTAAGGGGAAAATCAAGAAGGGAAGCCAGCAGTGACAGCTGTGTGGCCTTTTGGTCACTTTTCTTGCATCTGCTGCCTGTATTCTCAATTGCTTTGAATCACTCCACTGATAATTAACCGTTCTTTGTCCTACTGTTGCTGAGTCTCAATCACGGATTAAAGCTTGCAAAGAGAGGACAGAGAAGAATGAAGTAAAAAGAATAAAAGACTGCCAGCTTTTTCGCCTTCGGGGTACCTGGGCAAAGGATGATACTTGTCTATTTGTTGGGTGCTTTCTTTACTTTCACTTTCCTGGAGGTATCATCTACCAGCTACAGTTCAGTGCAAGGATGAAGAATTTTAACAGTGTTTTTCTTCATTGTACTCTGTTTTCTAGAACCTATGAGAACACCAAAAACACTGAAGATTGCTGAGATCCAGGCCAGGCACATCGCAGTGGATTGGGAATCTCTGGGTTACAACATCACTCGCTGCCATACTTTCAATGTCACTATCTGCTACCACTACTTCTGTGGACACAATGAGAGCAAAGCAGACTGCTTGGACATGGACCCCAAAGCACCCCAGCACGTCGTGGATCACTTGCCACCCTACACGAATGTCAGCCTCAAAATGATCTTAACCAACCCAGAAGGGAGGAAGGAGAGCGAGGAGACCATTATCCAGACAGATGAAGATGGTATGTGTAAATGCTCTTATGGAAATTACATCCAGGTCTAGTCTAGACAGATGGTAGGAAATGACTTTGTGTGTTACAATATGTGTCCTGAAGGATGCAAGTTGTCTTCTATTAATGTATTAATTAGCCCCAAAATGGTAGCTATAAAAGTGTTATAGCTGTCACCCTGCATATATAGATAAAACTGTCCATGAAACACAAGTCAAACTGAATCTCTCTGTTAACTATTTGAAAGCCACCCATCAAATTAAAGTTACTTTGAGAACTTGGGAATTAGACTCAATCAGCCTTATAGGTCCCTTCCAACTCAAGATATTCTGTGATTCCTTTTTAAAATTCTTTTTATGAAGTTTCATTGACAAGAGAGGTGAACTTACCTTAGCTGGGAAGAAATAAAGAATAGATGTATATATATTAGTGGTGACACATTCAGTGGTTAGGCCATGAATCTTGGTATCAAAGATGCTAAAATAAAAATTGATATTTTCCCCTCATAATATTTAAAATGTGGTAGCAAAGAACAATGTTAGTTTCCTTTTCTTATATTTACATTTCATGAAAGTATTGACAACAGCAAAATGAAAATAGATACTTCCATAGGTAACAAAAATAGAATACTTGGACTAATGTAAGACTGTAGATGTATAAAAAAGTAAAATTGAAAAAGGTATTGTGTTTGCTTGCCTGTAAAATAAATGAATGGGAAATATATGGATAGCAGTCAATGTTAGAATCTGGTAGCACTCTTTTTCCATATATTTTCAATTTTATAAGAAATAATAGAGGACTATGTTTACTGTTGCAATAAAGAAGAGAGAACAATTTATTAAATAGGTAGAATGTGAGGAACTGTAGAAAACTATAGACACATAGATGCATCCTATGAAGATTTATTGACAAGTAGAGAATTAGAATATTTCATGGAATTAAAATTATTTTTTAAAGTTAATTATAATTCATGATGAATTATTTCTGTGTCTGTGTTTACATTATAGATAGAAATGGTTGCTATTTTCCTTGAGGTTAAATAGAAAGTCATAGGAATATTTTTAAGTCCATGGCAAATGGATTACTTTTCCTTTTTAACTGAATTTACTTATTGGTTATGGTTTCTGATATCCTTTATCTAGTTAGATGTGCAGAGATGGTGGATGGTCACTGTAGCAGTGCTTGTCAGGAACAGAGTGAAGTGCATATGTATATTTTGTCTTCTGTTTTTGTTATGGATTATTCTTGAAAGATGATGCACACAAGGCAGGTTTTGGTCTTAAGCTAGTATGCCAGTGTGCTGTCACTGAACTTGTTTTGAATCAGCTTTGGTGTCACAAGTACTATAGTGTAGAAGAAACCTCACCCAGTGAACAGAAGTTGCTAAGGCAAACTATTTCAAGCAGATGTTGTTTTCATGGAAGGACTAATACATTTTAAAAGGTACCTATATTTAGACACACTGGTGGTAATAATGCTTGTGACCTGAAAATAGCCTCTTGTGAGCTTTTCTCTGTGAAACTGTTGGGAATAGAATGCAGATTTTAATTTTGAGTTACTGTTGACTTGAAAGTCTTTGTCCATTTTGCCATGTGTTTCAAAGTACATGGCATGCAGACAACATGCAATACTGAGGGATTCACACCTGTGTCTTTCCTTGAGCTCTCATAGCAGTAATGAACTAAATCCTGTAGTTGACTGCTTATGTGTATGATGTTAGTTCCATGTCTGAGTGATCAAATGTCTGAAACTTTTTTAAAAGACAGTTTGCAGCCTAAAGCAGAACTCAGACTAAGATGATGAGAGGAACAGTCATATATGTGATTCTGTGTCCCACGTTTCAGATGTGCTCAGGTGTAGCTTCATTGTCTTCATGATTTTTGCAGGTTCTGTAAAATAAGCATGAGGTTAATTATATCATGAAGGCATTATCAGTGATTCATTTAGGAAAAGGAAAATAGAAGTAGAGTGTTGTCCTTCATTTTTGCAAATACCACTAATTAGAAATAGCCCCTGATTACATGCTATCTGAAATTGTGCACTTACATTGTATAGTTTTCATAAATAGAAACTTTGAAAACTCCAGATGACAACTGATAATTAGTTTTTTGTTAGCTTTTCTATAGTGTGGGATTCTTTTCAGTGCCATTCTTTTTCATAAGGTACTGCTAAACAAGCAAAAACTTTATGGACTGTTGGAGATAGAAATGCCTACCCCATGTTTTCTTGTCATACCCATGCTTCCAAGCTGTCCCTTTCTTCTCTTTAGGTGTTGTTGTTTTGTTTTAATCTGTCCCTTCATCTCTCTACATCGATCATCTCGTCTCCTCTCTTCTGTCAGGACTTTTACAAATTTCTGAGCTTCTGGAGTTCCCTAAAAGCAGAGGAATTTGGACTTCTGTGAGGCTCCACTGTGCAGCAGGGTGGATCTCTTGTAGTCTTTCACAAAGGTTCACATTTGTGTAAGGTTGTGCAGCTGGGTTGTGGGTCTTTCAAAAATTGTCAGACCTGCCAGAGTGCTGAATGGTAACTTAGCTGCATATGGTACCAGGAGCAGAATTAACTCAAGAAACAATTAGTAGAAGAATGGGGTAAGAGTCACAATCTATGCTTCAGACCTTTGGAGCCATGACTGACAAATGAGGACAGTTTCATTAGCTTGTAATTCAATATCTGCAAGAAAACAAAGCCCAGGAATATCTGACAGTCTGAAGGTAGGCTCTCTTTTGACCAGAGCTAGATCTGAATAATTGGTAGTTTAAGTATTTCTATGTAACATGGAAAGATAGAATTAATCTTAAAGTAAGTTATAGTAATTTCAGAAAGCTGTATTCCATGTAAAAACAAAGCCCTTGAGAGAGACAATGGTAAACAAGTTGTGCAAAAAGAGAATGAAAATAAGGAAATTTTTGAGTGTTTTAAGAGTGAAACATCTTTCACTTTGGGAAGAGAGCATCAGGGACTCAGCATTACTGTGCTATTACAGGGACCCACTGCTTCTCCTTGTTTCTATAGAAGATGGACAACATTTGAAGAATTTGATAAAGGAAGTAGAGGAAGGCTCACACAACCTGGAGCTGCATACATGCTGAGCAAAGATGATGTTTGGCATTTAGAAACAAAGTACAAAAACCAGCAGTGAATTTATCACTTAGCATGAATCAGCAGCGTGCACATGTTCTTGGAGCTGCCTGCTGACCAGAGCACTGCCAACTCAGAGGGACCCTTTGTCAAAGCAGTGGATGAATGGGATAAACCAGATAAACGCTTCCTTAATTTTTAATTGGAAACAGGAGTAGTGACATTAGCTCTGAGAGAACAGCTATGGAGAAAGCAAATTGTGAAGCTCAAAGTGTTCAGTGGTGATTTTATAACCAGTAAGGAAGTGTGTCATCTAATAGTAGGCAAACAAATAATTGAAAAGGATCACTTCGAATAGGATAACTACACATTTTGGGGCTTAAAGTATACCAAAGCTTTGTTCTGAGCCAAAGGACATGCTCATTGGACACAAATGCGGTTCCCTGATCTTTCAAAGACTGTGGATCATTCAGCCGCATGCAGAAATACCTAGAGCTACGATACCAACTGTCCAACCATTACTCATACTCCTGGGAAAGCTCCAACAAGCTTGCCACTCTGGGTAACAGCAGAGGAAGGGGGAAATATGTATATAAATTATAATTAGAGGGGGGGGAAATGAATAGAAACAGTGAAATATTTCGTGTAGTGTCTAAATGTGTGTCCTGCTTTCAGCTGGGATAGAGTTAATTTTCTTCCTAGTAGCTGGTACAGTGCTGTGCTTTGGATTTAGGGTGAGAATAATATTCATAACATGCTGACATTTTAGTTGTTCCTAGGTAGTGTTTATATTAAGTCAAGGACTTTTCAGCTTCTCATGTCCTGCTATCAAGAAGACTGGAGGGGCACAAGAAGCTGAGAGAGGATGCAGCCAAGACAGCTGACCCAAAATAGCCAAAAGGATACTCCATATCATGGAATGTCATGCTCAGTATATAAGTTGGGGAGAAAGCTGACTGGGGACCACTGTTCAGAAACTGTCTGGGCATCAGTCTGTGAGTAGTGAGCAATTGCAATGCATATAATTTGTTTTAGATAGTCTAATTCTTTTATAATTTCTATTTTCTTCTTTTTTCTGCCCCATCCAGCTGCTGAGGGAGGATTGAGCAAGCGACTGGGTGGTGCTTAGTTACTGGGTGAGGTTAAATCAAGGCAATGTGTGAAGAGGAAATACCTTTCACCAACTTCAAGAGGGAGGATTTATGGAAATAGTTGACATTTAGTAATTTTCCATGATTGATAGTAGTAAGTTTTGTAAGTTGCCTTTATGAAAAACCAAACCAACCAAACAAAAAACCCACCTCGATTTGCTATGAGAAGCATCTTTTTTGTTCCTACTTTTCCAGTTGTTCTGGCACCCTAGGAAAATGATGGTGGAAAGAAGAGGTAGAAAATATGCTTTGATCAAAGTAAGCAATGCTTCAAGGAGCTTTGAAAAAACATAAAGATCTACTAGTAGCACTTGAAAAGTTGCAAAAATAGCCCGCCTGGGAGAAAAAGTTAACGCAGGGATGTGAACTATGTCCATTGCAGCAAAGGAGGGCTGCAAAGATTGTTTGAAATGGCAAACTGTCTCAGAAAATGTGTAACTCACTTAACTGAGTGACACATTCATAGATGTCAAGTGAACCGGGTATGCTAATCCTAATGGGGGAAAAATTGGCAAATGGTTGCAGTTAACAAAGAGAACCCCCCGACCAAGAGATAAAAGTTTCAATGTGAAGTTGTCCATAAATGTCACTGCTAAACATATTGACCTCAGTGCTTCATCTAAGAGAGAGACTAGTGACCTATGTGGCATAAGCAGTGACAAAATTTAGTGTCAAAGTAGTCAAATAAGGGAGGAATTTTTATGTCTTTAATAAAAGTGAACTGAAACTGAGTATAACGAACCTACTCTTGTTGAGTAAAAGGAGCCTGGGATAACTTGT